GTAAACAGTATGAGGGACACAAGAGCAGAGAGAGGCCTGCAAGGGTGGTCAAATGCAGTTTCATCTTTCAGATATGGGGGGTGGGTCTCTTTTACAGTGATACAGAGAGCACATGCACCCACCAAAGTGTTTTCGATCTATCACCTTCAAAAATGACTTTTAAAGTAACATATACATGCATAACATTGTTAAACAGCCTCATATAGTTTTTAGATTCATTTAGCAAATGCTTTTATCCAAAATATGTCTCAAGTTAGAAAAAAAAAAAGGTTTTCTGTCCCAAACCTTCTTCGATATGTTAACAAGTTCAGTGATTTTTTTTAAAAACAGGTTACCTTTCTTTCTCCTGACCTAATAAAAGGGAAAAATAAATAATGCTAAAACTATTTTAGCGAAGAGATCTGAATTTGACAAAAAATATAGTCATTTTGTGTTTTCTAAGGTGGGTTGGCTTTGGTGGCCATCTTTTATTAGATTGGTTTGAAAAGATAATAATTACCTGAAACTAGGGGTGCACCGATTGCAGTTGAACTGCGGATTCTGATTTTGTTTTATAAGCGACACTGTCAGGTGTTATAAGGTCACAATGCACCTTCAATTTTCCAATATTATTTTATTGAAAAACATACCCTTGAACAATATCCTAGAAACAATACAAACTTGTTTTAACTGGCCATGAGGCAGTGCTCTGAAATATAAATGAAGTTTAGACAATTCTTGTTAAAACTACAAAATATCGGTAAAATCGTTTTCTCGTGTAAGTGTCAGCCGATCGCCGATCACCCAAAATTAAGGAAATCGGGGACGATAAATCAGCTGGCCGATTTATCGTGCACCCCTACCTGAAACTTTACCTCAAATCCATTCAGTGGTTCAAAAGATATTTTGCTAATAGACAAAGCTGACTCCACAGAGTTCATGGCAATTTTTTAAACCAAGATTTTAGCGCTCAGCAGATGTGTTGGGAATCAGTCTCAGCAACTATCACACCAAATGTTAGGTCATTCCGTGTTGAACAAACTGCGTTTTAGCCATTTTTGTGTTTTTAAAGGTCAATTGGCCGTAGGCCTATCACATTAACAAATTTTGCTCGGCGATGAATTGTCTCAGAAATGATTGCATTAAATGATAATATTGTTTGAAATTCAACAATAATTCATTGTCAAATTTTAGAAGACATGTTGATTTGTTTGGAGTGTAGTACCTTTCTTGACCACCAGATGGCAGTATAAGACTTTGAACCAAAGGATGGATAGTTGAGCACCGTGCGTCTATGAAAAATGGGAGGGAGGGCTCTTGACGCGACATGGGCTGACGCTCAGTGATTTGAGCTCTTTAGCATAGCATTTTTCACACAAAGCTTTTAATAAAAAATAAAATAAAATAAAAAAAAACAACAAACAAGTTCTCTGCTTCTTTTTGCAGAAAAAAAAACATTTTACACGAAGGCACGAGTTTCAACCGTGAATTCTGGATCTCGACAAGATGGAGGATCATTCTAGAGGCCGGCCTGTTAGCTTAGCTCGTAGCTTAGCTTCTCAGCTTAGCTGATTTTAACGATCCAAAAACGCTATTTTGGATGGTTAAAACAGATTTTAAAGAGAAAGGGAGTCAGGGTCAGTGAAGATCACCCGAGTTGAGCCGTGTCTTCAGTAGAAGGAGAGAGACACGAAGAAACGATAAAGCTGGTAATGAAAATGAGGTCGATATTTTTTCATTCATCATGCAATTAATTGATTTATTGTTTATTGCGACAGGCCTAGTTGGCCGTGTTGGCCATCATTAAATGGGTTGGCTCCAAAAGTACCTCATATTATCACAAGAGGGAAATCCCAAGACTTCAGAATACCAGAGATTATTAGCTGCCAAACCCATCTGATTATAATATGAAAACAAAATTCTTGCGTCATCGGCATAGAGGTCAATGTGTGCTTTCAAGAGGTTCTCAGGTCACTATTTCAGGAAAGCTGCTACCCATCTGAATGAGTGGCTGGGCTGCAAGAACACTGTCCCTGAGTAACTCCTGATGATAACTTCTCATTTCCAAGGCTCAGCTCAATTAAAAGGAACCCCCTGAGGACAGCTTCAACTCAATTAGGGTAGTTTCCACATTTACCACATTGGATTTGTCTAAACCACTTGATCTCATGCTGCCTTATTGTTTCTTTGTGACCATCAGACAAAAACAAGAAAAGAAGATGTGAGCAGAAAAGCTTTTATCTTTAAGTTGACCCATGTGGAATAGGGTAAGTATTTAAGAACCGCCACACTCTAGCTTCATGTGATCATTATGAAGGGTTAGTATGGGTTTGGCAAAAACATTGACATGTTTTATCAGGTTCTGCTTTTGAGGGATTCAGAGTCACAGATAGCTGAGCCCACCAATGTGCAATCATACCCAAGCAGTCCAAACACGGGGAGAACTACCAGGCCATCACTTCCTGCTGGACTGTCCCATCTTAGCTCTTGTGATGCGGTGGGGGAAAAGGAAGTGGAAAAGGAAGTGGCAGGCAAAGTTATTACACACAAAAGGCCAGTGGTGAGTTTCAAGCTCTGTTTTCATGCTGGCCGCTGCTGAAATGCAAAAGGCGGGCAATGATTTGTATGTTTGTTTGTTTGTCTGTCGTGGTGGCAAACACAAAAACTCAAGTCAAATTTTTAGACAGTGCTCTAAAATTTGACAGGGCAGAAGGTGAGAGTCCTCCCCAACACATACAGTGAGTGCTAGCAGGTGGCGCAAGCTCACGCAATATCGCATGGAATAGCGCTTATCATCGTTTTCAAGTTTTGACCAAAACAGCTACAACCCTGTCATTTCTCAACATAAAACAACCTTTAATTTTCTACAAGCCCTGATGAATTTCTCACAGTGGCAACCTTGCCAGAAATTAAGTAGCATGGAAAACTAGCAGTACGAGATAATCTAATCAAATGTGTGTACTTGTCACTGATGTGCAGTGTTGGTAGTGTCAACACGACATTATTAATATGTACAAAAGCAACACAAATGACTGTAACTACAAGTTGGAGCGCCAACATTCCAGTAAGGCCGGAGTATTTCCATGCAGCCTTTGTACAGGAGACCTAGTTTGTTTGAAACCATAAGAGAACAGGCTGTGAGTAATACCAATACGCCCAGTCAGTTGTTACTTACTCCATAAATCCAACTTAAAAACACAAAAGTCAGCGTTCGTTAAAAATAATGATTTTTTTTTTTAAATAAATGCATGTTTATCGCATTGGCCTTTAACGCAACAACTCAAACTAGCCTGTGGATGCGAAATAAAATCAAGTAAAGCGCGTTTCAGCTCAAAGCTAAATTAAAATGTGAGAGCAGCAGTTAAATTTGCTTCATTTCAACAGAGGCATTATCAGCGAGAAGCAGATGGACTGTTGGCATTACATGAGATGCATGCTCAGGGTGTAAGACACTCTTTATATGGCAAAGTTCAAGGCCAAGCCTTAAATCAAACACTTAGTGATCACTGGTTTCATTGTGCCAAGCATTTAATACACGTTTTATACCGTTGTCTAAAAGGCGAAAGGGTGCAGGTTAAGATGTTATCTTTACACATGCACAATATTTCAGACTATTATTTAGATTACAATTTGAAAATGTGTGGATATTTTTGATTACATTGATTTATGGTTTGTTGATTTTTCCTCATTCTGCTCAAGATGAATAGGAACCTGTGCAAATACGTAGTTATATTACCCCTAAATTAAAAAAAGGCTGATATGCACATTGGAAGGTGGAGAAACATCCTCTTGCTGTTTGGGTAGGGTAGTGCTTACAGGGTGGGTGATGTTTGGTCAGGGATAGGGTTGCATTATTCTAAAGCAAGCGCATGACCTTTACTCCCAATCAAAGACTCAGAGTTATATTATTTCTACCAGATTCCATCCCCTTGTATCCCCACCCCACAAACTAAAAACTGGTGTATCCCCGCCTTGAGTCGTTTCATCGTTGTGCATCCGCACAGCATCACTCAGCGACAGTAAGACACGCTCTCACCCAGGGGCACTTGCAGACATTTTTCAAATGGGCGGTCATTTGGGGGTCTTGCCACACCAAAACCAAAAGCCTAAAGAGAATTTCAGGAGTTTTGTTATATCGTCACACATAGGTTATTTAAAAATAAATAAATAAATAAAATGCACCACCATTGGAAGTAGGAAATGCATTTCTGATTTAGGTCTACTTTCAGTTACAGCTGATATTACTTGTTCAAAATAGCTCAACATATTAAAGCTTGTGCTTTCTTAAATTTCGATGTATTTAAACATATACATATCTCATAATCAGCATCCTTTATAAGCACATCCAACTGTTACGCAAAAGCACCGTTTGAATTAGTTGGGTAATTATCAGTATATTAGATATTAGATAGCTGTAGGCAGTAGATATAAAAGCACGTGAACTAAAAACACATTAAAAAAAAAGAACTTAGCGTGTCACTCGCAAATGCCAGTGTATAAAAGAAAAGTTGCGATATTTCTTTGAGTTTGTCCACTTTAACCGTTGTCCCTTTTCAGAAAGACTAGTTTTGAAGAACATTTTTCATTTCAAACCATTAAAAAAACATGTTTATTGTCATGATTACGAGCTTCTACTAATCCCATTTAGGTAGAAAAAGCTTGGGATTTTGGAAGATAAGACTGGCCAGAGGGAGGCCAGTTGGGGGAGGGTGTGTTTGCACCAATTTATTTTAGGGGTGACCAATGCCCCCCTCCCCGTCCCCCCTCCTGGTGGTAGCCCAGTTCACACTAAGGAATCCTGGACTCCCAACTGGAACCAAACAGGCAGCCCTGTCAATCCTGAAATCCTCAAATTAAAAAACTGAACACAGCCTGGGATGCACTGCACACCGATATGAGCCATAGTTTTGTTCCCTTACACGCCTGATCACATAAATGGATCCTAAAATGAACAAAGGGGGTAGGATGTCCTGGTGCATGGACACAACACCCCCTGTCTTCCTGGGGATGGACAGCTTTACCTTAGTAACCACGTTCTGGTCGAGCCCAGTGTGCTGCACGAAGCTCCACTCGGTGCAGTTGGGGACACACTGCGCGCTGATCGTGTCATCGTGGCTGCTGGAGTTCTCCCCGGCCTCGTGAGGACGGTGGTAATGATGAGGACCGGGCAGCCACGACTGATGATCGCTCATGTTCGGCTGGGTGCACGTGCTGTTCGGCTGGGCGAGCAGGAAACTATCCGAGTACTGGCTGAAGCCGATGAACAACGCCGGAATCCATGTCAGCACGATCAGCTGTTTCTGGTACCTCCCGAAGCCCCCGAGAAACGGCAGGACGGCGGAGTCGATGCGCCTCAGCTGCCCCGGGGGGGACGCGGTCTCGGCGGCCACGAAGCCGTTCTCCGGCTGGTGCGCGTCCCCCGTTTCGAGCTGCACCACGGCCATGTCGCCCGAGACTGAGAGGGAGAGAGAGAGAGAGCTGCCTCCGGTTGTGGAGCGAAGGGAAGCCGGGTGTTTGCAGTCAGCACCTACCTCCCCCCCTCTCTCTTCCCTCCTTCCACAATGCGTCAATGCTCCCCTCCCCTCCGAGCTCCCTGTATGTGGCGGTGCGCAGACCGTCAGTGGAACGGAAAGAAGACGCACCTCCTCATTGTTGGGATGGCAGGAAGCACTTCCCTCTGTTCGCCACCGAAAACCCAGGGAAGGGGGGGCTGACTTGATAAAACAATAAAACACACTCAAGATTTAAACGGATTAATGACGAAACAACCTAAACTGTTTCCACTGCTTCGTGTGCGTCTCAGCTGAGGCAGCCGCGGAAGCGCGTCGCGTGTGAGTCACAGGTAACACACCTGGCCACAGGTAGAGTCCCGACAAGAACATGGCCTCCAGGAAACACCGACGAGTTTCAGGAAAACAACAAAAAGAGGGGGGAAATAATTTCAAAAAAACATTTTAATACAAATAAATGCACATATATATGAATAAATGTATTCACTTTGTCGAGCTAATTAATATTATTCATAGCGACGTGTTTACATATAAAAATGTTGAAAAATAAATATTTTTTACTATTAAGTCGGTGTGCTGTTTAAGACTTGGGATTAAAAACACTATGTTATACAATCTTGATAGGCCTAACTTTATACAATCCAAATGATTGTAATCCACTGATAGCCTGTAAACAGGTAGGAGGAGCTAAAATGTAGGCCACGCCCATTATATGAAACACCTGGCGGAGCAACTGCGGATTATATGGCAAAATATAAAATTGTAAATTTGAACATATACTTAATTTTATCATTTTATAAGCACATTTTTTTCATCCACAAACAAAAATGAGCAAACTCGATACCAAATTGTATTCATTTTCAGTCAGAACTAAAATATCTGATTGATTCCCTTAAACTGATTAATAATAATAAAAAAGCTCATTTGTTTCTTTCTAATTACAAATGATATTTTCCCGAATCCTCTGACTAAAATTTCATTTCATTTTCATTTTCTGTTTTGTTATTCTTTATCCTTTTCTTTCCAGTCTGTTCTTAAATAGTATCTCTGTTTATCTTGTATACTTTTACAACGGACTCAGTTCGCAAGTCTTGTCACTGTTTTGGAGGTGCTGTTTGTTAATTACAATACCGGTTTGTTTTGTACATTGTGTTCAATAAAGTAAAAAAAAAAAAAGATACGGCAAAATATGAGGAATAATGACAAAATACACAATTGGTTTGTTATTCTGTTTGTGACAGATTCATTTGTGAAATGTTCAGATTAGAGTTAGGATCTCCAAAACAAAACTCGGTTCTTTGGCAAAGAAGTCCGCTCCTCTTTTTTTATTCTTCTGCCTGAGTTTCGATCATCAACAGAGGAAAAAAGGACTCGTGTTTTGAAGTTGTTGTGAATCATCCTCTGAAGAGGATACACTACTTTATTTTCTTTTTTGTTGCACAGACTATTGATAAATCACCATTTATATTAATTGGTATTTTTCATGCCCTTTATTTTTGATGTGTGCTTCAAACTATAAACCATTTTTGAATTATTTCACAACCTAATTTAACATCTTGCTATCCTCCACCAGTTAACTATAGGTTTGGTTTATTGTATAAAATCTAAATTAATGTTAGTTGAGAGCACAATTTATATTATCAGATGTGGATTTTAAGGTCCATTTGATGTTACTGTATTATACCAGAAGTATTAGCAAATCAGTAAAATCCATAAGGTACTGAACAAATATTGATCATTTTATTGTACTATCATATTAGAATTTAAATTAGCAACAAAGTCATTGTTCACCTTCCAGGCAAATATATTTGATATTCTTCTTTCTTCATTCGTCCGTTTCCTCTTCAGGTGTTACCACAGCGAGTCATCCTCCTCCATCTCACTATGTCCTCTGCATCCTCTGTCCTCACTCCAACCCCAGCAGATCCTTGATGCAATCTCACCTCCACCTTGAAGCTACTGTCCTGCTGTCCTCATACATGTCCTGTACCAGTCTAACATACTTCTCTGCCGCTCCAGATTTCCTCATGCAATACCACACCTCCTCCCTCAGCACCCTATCAAATGTTTTTTTTCTAAATCCACAAAGACACAATAAAGTTATTTCTGAGCCTCTGTACTTCATCAGCATCCTCAAAACAAAAATGGCAACTGTGACGCTCTTTCTCAGCATGAAACCATACGGCAGTTCATAAATAGTCACCTCTCGTCTAAGTCTAGCTTCCACAATTCTCTAGATCAGGGCTATTCAACAAAACTGCTCAGGGGGCCACAGTTTCTGAAAGCCAACAGCTCGGGGACTGGACATCCAGCAATTAAAGTCATTATGTAAATAAACCAAGTTTTACAATGATCTGTTACCTTGACATTTTTTTATTTTACTGCATTGAATCATAAATGCAATAAACAGAACCCAAAGCACAAACTAGTGGTGGGTGCCTTCAATCTGACCCACTTTTT